CTGATTACACTGTAAATGATAATCTACCTTAACCAAAATCAAAGTAGACTATCACTCACCCACACCAGATGGAAAACTCTATATATATAGATTTTTTGGCCCGGCCGGGCAAGTGACCCTGGGCCTCTCTGGTAGCCTAGGTTTGTTGTAAATATAAGTCTCAGTTATAAATCTCAAAACATATTAAAATTTACTAAGAACGAGCGTTATACATATGCCTTTAAAAAACATTTAAACCTTTCCGATCCTTGCTGTGGACGGAAGCTTCCAGGCCCATTCCAGCGGGGCGAATTTTAGGTCTTGGATCGCTGTGGTCGGCCTGTAGATTCTGTAGTCCTCGTCCTCAACCACATGAACCTTCCTAAGGAGAGCAAGGTTGGCTGCTACCTGTGTCCTCACTGTTCTGTCCACTCCGCTGACTGTTTGTCCCGGTTTCCAGATGTCGTGGATCTAGCAGAGTCCCCATGTCCCTGTCGGGCCGATTGCTTGGATAAAGGATAGCAAAAATGGTGGTACTTCAGACTGGTATTTCTGCTTGGTGTCCTTCAGCAGGCCAGTTAATCATGCCATCGCAAACTCGTTAATCAATTGGACTTTGTCATTTAGGGGGGAAGAACAACAGTGCAAGGAAAATGCGCAATAGCGAAAAGACAGAATTCCAGATTGCAAATCACACAGAATGCCAGATAATCGAAGGCTGTCCAGAAAGAAGAAATGCACTGATGTTACACTGAAGGAGAACCAAAGCATCGAACCCAAGTGTCAATGAAAGCATACTCGCGACACCACCAACAATGCAATCGAAGCTCTCCCTCCTATTGGCGCTCAGCGCCCAGACTACTTCCCTACAGCTACTCTATTAGCTACGAAATGACAAGCACCTAGTTGACGTCAGCAGCAGCAACTGACGTACATGCAGATGTCGATCATGTGGACCTCCGCCAAGACCAGGTACGTGCCTCACATCACTTCCCCTCTCCCCACTCGTGCTCATCCTCGACTTCGTCTCCGTCTCCTTACTACCCGAAGACCACCACCATACCCCGCTGACTACATCCAAGCCAAGCCCGACTATGGAAGGCTTGGGTATGGCGCTGCCTTCGGGCAGCGTCCTTCTCCCAGCAACTGCGCTCGCTTCCCGGCACTAGCGCACGCAAGTAGCCGCGCGCGAGCAGTTGCTCCAGCAGCACTGCTGCATGCACTGCCAAGTGCCAATTGCCTGATGCATGGCAAGGCACTTCCCTATATCGAAGTGGCCTGGCCTGCTTGCTGCTTGGCCTGGGCCTGCATGCGCCCAGCAGCTTCAGGTTGGGCCAAAGTGTCTGCGCCCAGGCTCGTTCAGACAGTGGCCTAGGACCGAATCGGTTAGGCGTGGCCATCCACCCAGCGTAAACGTGATGTGTTCCCCGCTTCCACAGAAGAGACTAGAAGGCTCACAAATGTTTCTGAATATCACGACGGGGCGGATGTAACCAACTGGCGCGTTGCAACTCTCTGGCGCCAACCAAAGCTTTGCAAAATTGACGATCTCAGGCCTCATTGAATTTCAGGGGCCCGCCCTCACTAGGGGCGGGCTCATGCTGGCTGTACGGGCCCCTTATGGGCATGCCGAGGAGGCATACCCTCGCAGTAGTATGACCACGTCCTTATTTTTTGGGAGTTTGTTGTTGTTGCCCTTTCATATCCATACTCCTGTTTCCCCCTCCC